TTCGTCATCTATTCGGGTGCAGCAGTCTGCCTCATCGTGTCATCAAGGGCACATCAAGGGTTGCAGCGGTTTGGCAAAGGCATGATTCAGTGTGAGTAATACTTCCAGACCCAACAACTTCCGCTCACCAAAAGGTGAATCAGGAGCGTCTCCGCTGTGAAGGTTACATCATACTTCTTGACTTATCCGATGTCACGCAACGGGTGAATGCGGTGCAAGGGAAGCGACATGGCTAACGGAGTCAGAAGCTAGACCAGTGTACAATCCATAAGAAAAGTACATATATGTTCCATATAAGACCAATCTTACTCGCATATGCTTATCAAATGACCGCTCTGTCATGTGTCTTCCATGTTCGGATATCTTGCCCACCCACATGGCCAGACTCAAGCAACCTTGCCCGCAGCAAAACAAACCCCCCTTAGGACACGATCGATTGAGGTCGAGTCGAAAGAATTGGCGCCGGGATCAGGCATGTTCTTCTCGTCCGCCAGCAATGGTTATTGAGATACTCTGAGAGCCTCGGAGTCCACCCGCTGGTCGCATTGATCACCGCCACGGGCTCCAAACGAAGCACGATATGCCAGGACCAGTCTGATCCCTCTAATCTTTGGCTTCTCATGTGATCCTCAATTGTCCGATCTACACCCTGTTGCCTCTTCAGGTCAACTCTTCACTATGATTGACTAAGTCTGACAAATAACTACGATTTCCTGGCCAGCTCCGCCCAATGAGCTCATTCTAGTAATACTGGCCCGGGTTTGGGACGAGCAAGTCAGCATTCAAGATGGCTGAGAGAGTGGCGAGATGGCGTGTGATCACAGTCAATACGGCAGTTTACGCTGACACATGGCTTGCAAAGTAGCGTGAAGGTGTCTGGCTGTAAGGTCGAAATATAGTATCTTCGATCCTTGTGAGCTGCCCAGAATGACACAAATTGTGACCTGCTGAATGCTAACAAGATTACTTGGTAGGACCAGAGGGTAACAAGAGGAAGACCTGGAAACTGTTCGGAACTGTACTTTTTATATTGCTTACGTCTTTCACCCGATCTTGACACCATACCGATCGTCTTGCGGACTGAGACCATTGACATGAGCACTGCCTGATAGCAAGTCTTTGAAAGTCGGCTCGCCAAAGACCACGTCCATGGCAATTGTCATCAATTGTTACAGCCCGCCAGTCCAAAGTGAGACCTGATGGTAAACAAAGAACACGCCTCTCGCTTTGATTGATCGACGATGGTGCCATAAGACCTGTTCCTTGATCATCAAATATGGTCAATTCACGAAGGGAAATGAGATCCTCCTGTGGGAGAAGCATAGTTTCCCTATCAGTGTAAGCTCGGCACAACGATCACAGATTAGGCGACAACGACGACGCTGGGCGGTCCCTCAAGGCGTCAACGGTTGTGGACAACGTGGCGCGTTGGATGAGGCTGATGGACGGAGGCCCACACACTGCATGCAAGATGAGCCGAGGATGGTCCCGTCGTACCTACTCCAACGAATCCTACCTCCCGAATCATGGTGCTAGCCAGGCAGGCCAGGTCAGGACAGGGCAATGGCATAATCATCACAGAGAAGCTGGGACATGAGCGAGGAGACACTGAAACGACCAATTGACTTCCATGCCCCCATTGCAAAGGCAAGTCCTGCTTCGCATTGCCCGCATCACGGCCCAGCCTGCTGCAGAACCGTGAAACCAAGGCCAGGTGTCACAGGCGAGCACAAGACTGGGACACAAGACTGGGAGGAGGACCATATGGTTTCTGGTGTTGGGGAAAGTGGGTCACCCTTGGATGGAAGCTCCTGGAACCACCTATCAACAGAGCTCCTGCCTCTCATGTCCCCTGTCGCCGCTGCGGCCGGCCTACTTTCACCGAGAGCCAGAGCCTCCAAGCCCCTGGAGCAGAGAGCGCGTGAGCTTTACAGGGACCAGCCCCCGCACTT